ATGGTTTCATGAGCTCTGGCTTTATAAATGCAAATCCCCAAGCTTGTAAGGCAAATACTTCATGCCCTGAGCCATCTCCCCAGCTTAAATTTGTCTTTTCTCTTTTTGTATTATATAGCATGTATGTGGAAATCAAAGTACAATTACTAGAGATGGTTTTCCTAACATCCACACAGATTCCAGGGATCAAGCTCAGGTCCTCTCAAGCGTGATAGCTACCCAACTGAGCTATTTTGTCCACCGTAAATTTTGTCTCATCTCAGAATACTTTAAAATGGTTCATGACCCTTAATATTACAACAGTCTGACTTTCATGTTTAAAGGCAAGCAGCCCAACCTCCATCAATGCAAAAACTAAGCAAACAAAAAACCTACTAAGGTCAAATGTACTTTAACTCAAGCACTAGAGGCAGAAGCAGGCAGATCTCTGGAGTTTGATGCCAACCAGGACTACAGAGTGAGACCAGGTCTCAAAACAAAACACAACAGAACAAAAACCCTCAACCAACTAACAAGATCACAACACACACACACACACACACACACACACGCAGCAAGTCAAGCACCATGACAGTCCACTTAGGTTTTTGTGGCCTCAACGGGCTAGTAGACAAACGAGTCTTAGCCTCATTTTTCTCAACTGCAAAGTAAAGAATAAAACATCTGCTTAACATGGCATGATTTTGTACACATGAAATCATAGCTACTTAGGAGGAGGCAAAGCAGGAGGTTCACAGTCCAAGACCTGCTATAGCAACTTAATGAGACCTAGTCTCAAATATTAAGGATACAATTAAGAATAAGAGTGCTTGGTTATCATCCAAAAAGCACTCAGTTCAATCAATCTTCAGTATCAGAAAAGCAAAAAAAAAAAAAAAAAACCCCAAACCCACATTACCATCACAAAGTAATTAAGCCAATAAATAGAAAGCACTTTGAGCTAGACATGGTGGCACACGCCTTTAATCCATGCCCTTGGGAGGCAGAGGCAGGTAGATATCTGTGAGACCAGCCTGGTCTTCAAAACGAGTTTCAGGGCAGCCAGAACTAAAAAGAGAAATCCTTGCCTAAAACAAACAAAAAAACACTTGGGCAGCAGCCTCTCCGAGACACATTGGTCTTAATCCATAAAATTAAGATAAACTATCTTCTGAAAGAAGATTGAGAATTGTTTTAAAACTACACAGAACTGAGTGGCGGTGGCACATGACTTTAATCCTAGCATTTGGAAGGCAAAGGCAAGTGGATGTCTGAGTTCTGAGTTTGAGGTCAGTGGTCTAAAGAAGTAGTTCCAGAACTGTCAGGATTATACAGAGAAACCCAGCCTTAAAAAAATGATAGATTAGTAAATAAATTATAGAGGTTAGTGACTTGGCTCAGTAGTTAAGAGCACTTGCTCTTGCAGAGGAACCTGGGTTCAATTACAAGAACCTACATTGTAGCTCACAACCAACTGTAACTCCAGTCCTAGGGGATCCAAGACCTTCCTCAGACATTCAAGGATATCATACATACATGTGGTGCACATACATACATACAGGCAAAACATTTTTAAGGTTAAATAATAAAATAATAAAAATAAATTGGTGGTATATAGAACAGTGATAAGTATGCTTGTAGCATGCACTAGACTCTGAATTCAATGCCCCACATTGAAAACAAAAAGTAGCCGGGTGTGGTGGTGCATACCCTTAATTCCAGCATTGGAAAGGTAGAAGAAGCAGATGGATCTCTGTGAGTTCCAGGCCAGCATGGCTCTACATCAGTGCCTCTCAACCTGGAGCTCATGAACTCCATAAGGGTAGCACATCAGATATTTACATAATGATTCATAACAGCAGAAAAAATTTAGCTATGAAGCAGCAGTAAAATTTTGTTGGGGCTCACCACAACATGAGGAACTGTATTGGGAAGTACTGTACAAATTCAGAAATTAGTAATTACTGAAGCATTAGGAAAGTTGAGAACCAATGCTTTACATAGTGAGACTCTGTCCCCCCTCAAAATGTATATACTTATACATGTATACACACAGAGAGAAATATATTTCAAGATTTCTTATCACATGCATACATTGAAATGGTTGAATGTACCCTTCTCTTCAACTAAGACTTTAAATAATCAAAGATAAGAATTGTTAAATTAGGAGCCGGAGAGATGGCTCAGATTAAGTGCACTGGCTGCTCTTCTAGAGGACCTGAGTTCAATTCCCAGCAATTGGCTCACAATCATCTGTAATGAGATCTGGTGCCCTCTTCTGGTCTGTAGGATACATGCAGGCAGACACTGTACACATAAAATCTTTAAAAAATTTGTTAAATTAATTCAAAATAAAGGCTTCCCATTCCCTTTCCCCAATTTCAAGAACTCTGAAAGCACACCATAATCAACTGAAAGAATGTGGAGAAGGACAAAGGACCCCTCAGAAGTAGAGTTCAGGTGAATTTCAAGTGAGGCCTCTCCCGAGGGCTGTATGAAATACTGTCAAAACAGAACGCAAGAACTTATCACTTCTGGAAAGAATTTAACATGATTTTCTTGGAAGAACAACACAATAAAAATAAAAAACCCAGGAGCTCTTCCAGAGCTCCCAGGGTTGAGTCCAAGTACCCACATGGGACAACTGCCCGACTCCATAGCTAAGGGATCCAATGCCCTCTTCTGACCTCAGTAGGACCTGCACATACCTGTACACAGTACTCAGACATACATGCAGGCACAATACCCATACCCACAAAATAATAAAACTCGTAGGAAGCCGGGCGGTGGTGGCGCACGCCTTTAATCCCAGCACTTGGGAGGCAGAGGCAGGCGGCTCTCTGTGAGTTCGAGACCAGCCTGGTCTACAAGAGCTAGTTCCAGGACAGGCTCCAAAACCACAGAGAAACTCTGTCTCGAAAAAGCAAAAAAAAATAATAATAAATTAATTAATTAATTAAAAAAAAAACTCCTAGGAAAAAAGACAAAAACCTTCCTGTTTTAAAGAATGCATGAAAGTAATTGAAACCAACTCTCTGGAAGATCAGATTATCTTGTGAATGGATTTTATCGATCCATTCACAATTAGCATTCGATTTTATTTTTTATAGGTTAACAGCTTCAATTCAATCACACCTTTCCAAAAACTAAAATTTGCTGTTGTTTCTGTTTTGAGCCAACAGAAAGAGGACTTTTTTTAAAGGTACAACCACCTGGCATTCCACTCCTGAAGGTTTTCACTTGCAAAATCATTTTTCTATTTTATTTCATTTGCAAAATTGTTATTTTATACACACCTCATACCTTTCATGGAATGAGGTGAAAACGACCTTTAAAAAACAGGAGATCTCCAACAAACTACAAATTTCGGTCTGCTGATATCAAACACGCAGTTTTTATATGAGATTTACAGAAGAAAACGGATTATTACTAAGCAAAATAACCCATGAATTAACTTCAAGTTTTCCAAGTAAGCAATAGATATCAAAGTTAAACTACTCAACACATTATACAAACTAACCTCAGATCACAAAATGGGCAAACAAAACTGGTACCACAGTACAATTTCAGTAGTATTCGCTACTACCAAAAAAAAAAAAAAACCAAAGAAAAACAAAAAACCGCACCCTTTCTTATGTAAACTTTAGAAGTAAACTTCCTAAACCTCACCTTTGTTTTCACCTACCCGCTCCGTAGAGGCCAACTGCAACAAGGGCCATAGTGAAAAATGACCGAAATGTTATTGTATTTAAGCATTTAAACAGGGTACTTCCCCAGGCTACAGCCATTTTAGATTCAGTATTTTTTTTTAATTTTATAGGCTGGGGAGATTTAGCATGGAATAAAAATGACTATTCAAGCCACTTTAAAACCAATCAGTCCTCCTTCCCAATGGGACGGAGTTTGGTAGCGGGCTGGTAAGACAATCTGAAGGAAAAGGTTTCACTAACCCGGAGAACCCGAACTCAGGGCGTGAAAGTTCCCTTTCCCCTAGATATCCCACATTTGACTTACACGACTTTTCCCTCGTTAAGTTTCTCTTAACTGGAAAACAGAAGCCTTCGGCTCTTATTTTAAGGAAAGGGAAGGAAAGGAGTTAACGAAGTCACACCACCACCACCTAGCCGGAACTCTTGGAAAGGAGCCGGAGCCGGAGCCGCAGGTGAGCGTTTCCGACCCAGAACCGAAGTTGAAGTCGGAGCGCTCTGGAACCGCCGCGGCGACGCTAGTGTGCAAGGCCCCTCCCGTTGGGGGGAGGGGGACGTTCCAACGAGACGACTCCCACTTCCTCTCGCCCACCCCGGGCGGACCTAAACCAACCACCTGTGCAAGACCTTCTTCCAACTAGTTTTCCTAGACGGCCAGCCGGGCGGCCGGCAGAGCCCGTGCCGGGGCGACTCGAGGGCCACTTCTGCTCGATGTGCAGAACTCGCACTCACCCGGCAGCGGCGGGGCTACGGTCAAGGGCGAGTCGCGACGTCTAAGAAGGCGTCCCCGGCTTCTCCGACCAGCAGAGGTGACTAGCCCACAACCATAACAAAGCTCTTCCCAAAATGGCTGCCCGGCCCACAAGGCTCAGGAGGGGGCAGAGCGGGCGGAGGAGGAGCGGCGACCAGCTGGGCCCGCCCCCTGCCGCTCCGGCCCGCCTCCCACACGCCCACTAGCAAAGGCGCACGCGCAGGCGCACCACTATGCCTCGGTGACCCTGCTAGGGCGCCCGCCGCTCGCTCAGGAAACGTTGGTCCGCTCCCGCAGCGGTTATGCCCCGCCCCGCCCCGCCCCGCCCCGGCGCCCTTCAGCGCGACAGCGGGGTGGCCGGCTCGCCCTTCCGCAAAGCCTTTCGCCTTTCTCGCGCCGCTAGTAAGGCGGGGACCAGCCGAGCTCAGCACTTCCCCTTAAAGCTCCCCGCCGGGACTCCGGCCTGGGAGCACGTGAACATGGGCGGGTCTATTTGTACCAGTTCTTCCCCGCCCATTCTTTCTTCGCCGTCTCACACCTCACGCGTAAACCAGAGGTAACTAGCTAAGCAGTTACGGAAGGGCGTGTTTTCCGACCCCTGCACACCTCTCGCTCTTCCTTTCACGTGCGCGCGTCGTTGAGACTCTGGCCCTTGGCGTGCCATAGACCCCCAGCACTAGAAGCATGCGCAGAGGTGTCGGGCGCGCTACCCGCCGGGAGTTGTAGTTCTTGGGCATTGCAGGCGTTAAGGAGCCACCCGGGCGCAGGTTGGAATTCTGGTCCAGCCAGGTCTTTGCGAATAGACTCCTGGGCCTATTTACACTCCATTGGGTATTGAACGACAGGAAAAGGCGGTGCAACCAGACCAGAGAAGTGAATAAATGTGAAGGCCTCGGTAGCCAGCCGCGTCTCTCACTTCTACAATCTAAAACTTCTGCATGTTGTAGTACCTAGAGGAGTGGAGGAATTGGCCACATTGGGCCCCTAAGTAAGTGAGCTCCGATTTGTTTTCAGCTTTTTGCACAAAGATCCAAGATCGCTCAAATTGCTTGCTGCCTGTTCTTTTGGCTGGCTGACGGCAGATGGGAGGCACGAAATCGCAAAGTGGATAAGTTTAAAAAAAAAATGACTTCCTGGATGACATCCAAGGCCCTTAACGCCACACCTTAATTCAGTGTGCATTTTGTGCCTCGGCCTCTCTTCTTCTTAGTAATAGTAAAGAGAGTAGAAGTAAACACAGAGTAATAAAGGACTCAAATGCAAAAAAGGAAGACTTTTTTTTCATTTCTGCAAAGCCCCGTTGTTTTTCGCAAAGTTAAGCGTTCCAAGCCAGCAGAGTAACACACTAATATCTTGTCTTTAAAAAAAAAAAAATTCCGTGGATACTAATTGGTCTAACTCGAAGTCTCCTCCTACCTCCTTCCGCTACCATTAATGGGATTGTTTCAGAAATTGTACCCTACCTTCCTGAACTGCTAGATATATTACGAATCCTGGAATAGAGACGAGTAAAGTACCTTGAAGTCAACACCAATTAGAATTAAACTTTAAACTAATCCCCGGGGCTGCAGGCTGCTCAATGATTAAAGGCGCTTACTGATCTTACAGAGAATTCCAGTTGAGCTTCCAGCAACCATACCGTAGGAGATCCGCACCTCTGATCTTAGTGGGCACATGCACTCAAGTACACGAACACACCCAAATATAAAAATAATATAAAATAATTGAGGGAGGGAAGCGCCCCCAAACGGAAAGAGGAGAGTTGGAACTTGCTGTAGTAAGTTCCCACCCGGACACATTTTTCTGATCTCAGGAAGTGGGGATGTGTGATTCCAATGGCCGGAAGTTCTCTTTCTGGTTGAATTTGTTGTTCAGATCTTCCGCCGCGTGATGGTGGCAAGTATGTATTAAGGACTGTGAAGGGTACGCTTTGGGCAGGCGGTGGGGGCGGAGTCACTAAGGGCTGGTAAATAGGAGATGTATTGTCATCCTAGGTGTCTCAAGAATCCTTGCTCCTAAATTCCGCTCCTATCTCAAAAATGGCTTGAGACGCTCAGTGTGGTTTTTGCATTGACGACATGAAAATATTTGATCGTTTTCACGCAGATTGGGCTTTCTGTCCTTAATCCGCATGACGTGACGACTCTAGGCTTCAGCCTAACACTTTCTTTAAATATTTCCCAATTGGAAAACAACGTGGTACAGCTGTTACGGAGTTCTAAAAGGTATACAGTTAATATATGTAAAACATGTAGTTACCTTGCCTGGTTCACAACTAAGCTATATTTGTGGCTGCTATCATTATTGTAAGTGTAATAATTCCTAAGATCTGAAGTAGACAATAATTAAAGACGATAATTAATGGGAATAAAAGTTATGACTGTGAGTTTTAAAGATAAGACTAGCACCTAAGGAAGTGGTAAAGATGTTTACTAAATCCAGATATTCAGTTTCTGCACATTGGTCTTTTTGGACAGCCAAAACTAAAACTGGGGGGGGGGGGAGGATCGTATTTCCTTAATGTTACTCTTTGAGAATTTTTTTCAAAAGAAATCATGTTCTATTGAAGAGATTCTTATGATTTATTACTTTTGTAAAATTAATGCATAAAATGAGGACAACAAAGTGATACGTTGTTTTCTGTATAAGCACCTTTGCTTCAAATTGAGCTATCCCACTCAGCTGCAAACTATATTAATCAGCACTGCATCTTCTGGAACAAGACTGAATAGAGACCAGTATGCTTCACTTCATCCAGAAATTTTCTGGAGCCTCTTCAAAGGTTAGTTGAGCACTATTTGTCAATAACTGTCTGACTAGGGCAAATATATACACACACACCTCATGTATTCTAGTGAGGAAGGAGAACAATGAGGAAATTATGCATAAGTAAAATATTTGCTATGTCAAGTAGAAACTGTTGTGGAGAACTATATATTATGGAAGAAGAACAGGGAATGTCGACAACAAAAAGGAACAGGAGAGATAGCTCGGCCTTGCCTGCTGGGGCCTTAGTTTGATCCCAGCACCCATGTTGGATGGTTTTACAACCAGTTACTCCAGCTCTAAAAGACTTGAAGTCTAAGGACACCCACCCACACACAAGTAAGAATAAGTCCTACCAGAAAATAATAGACAGGATTTTATAACATAAATAGAAGGGTCAGAAATGAAGGAATGGCCTTGTAGGTAGCTGAAGGAAAAGCATTCTCCTTTTGGAGACAAAAGGAATAAAGGCCAACATGAGATCATTCTTAGCATGTTTTTGAAGGCTTACCAAGACTCTTAAATAACTGTTCCTTTTTAATTTTTAAATAATTCTTTTTAAAAAAATTCTTTATAGATTTTTTTGATGGTTATAAGTTTGCTTTATTGTATGTGATGAAAATAACAGGCCAAAAAAAAAGGTCATTTTTATATTTGAATAGTTCTACAAATTGTTACTTGTAGAAATGAAAACAGGCATCCACAAAGGCAAGAAAGAAAACAAATGGGAAGATTTTAAGAATCTGTTTCTCTTCACCTTCACGGGCTGAAAACAGGTCTGCCTGTCAGTCAGCAAGTGCCTCTTGCCTCGGTCTTGAGGGTGGTTTGAGTTTGGGGAACGGTTCGTTTGCTTCCATGTGCAAGTGAACATTTTTCATTCGACGCTTTAGAGAGGGTTCTCCATATATGCTGATTTCAGCTATGTTCCCAGAGTCGACAGTGTCCACTGTCAACCAAATCTTGCCACTGAACCGCTTAATGGGACTGAGGGTTGTGTTGGGCCAAAGATCCTTTTTGCCACCCAGGTCTCCATGTGGAGCACGATAGGTTCACAGATTTCACTCTGAGGCCGCGGGGACACAGGTAGAGCGCTAAGCTTCTCCGAGGGAGGGTCCCCCATTGGTCTATTCGGCTTGTGGTGGGCATCACTAATATGGGCCTCCATACTGGAACTCTCCATGAGCAAGGCCGAGGAGCTGCTAGAATTTTTTTTTTTTTTTTTTTGGTTTTTCGAGACAAGATTTCTCTGTGGCTTTGGAGCCTGTTCTGGAACTTGCTCTTGTAGACCAGGCTAGCCTCGAACTCACAGAGATCCACCTGCCTCTGTCTGGGATTAAAGGCATGTGCCACCACCGCCTGGCTAGATTTTATTTTTAAATGTGTATATATGTGCCATTGTATACAGTGCATGTGGAAGCAAGGAAAGGGTGTCCGATCTCCTCGGAACTAGAATTACGGCTGGTTGTGAGCCACCATGTAGAATGGGGATCAAACCTGGGTACTCTGGAAGAACAGTCAGTGCTCTAAATCATCAAGACATCTCTCCAACCCCCAAATTATATGTGTATGGGGTTTTGCCTGTATGTATGTCAGTGTACATGTTCTTATTTTTAAACTTTGTCTCCTGGTTGTTTTTCCTTTACAGCTGCTGAAGTACCCTTTTACAGTGAGACTCAGAGCCAGCAGAATAGATGTACTTTCTTCCAAGACATCGTTTCAGCAGAACCTTTCCCCTTTGTCGCCAAGGACTTGGCTTTCGACATCATTTCAAGTGTGTATGAACAACATACAATGCTATCATACATCACCATGCAACTTTAAAAGACAGCAGAAGGAAGCAGTTGTTCCCTCCAGGACACCAAGCAGCATCACTTACCTACCTGATAGCCCAAAGCCAGCATTATACATAAGTCTGGTGGGGTTAGTCCCCTTTATTGCTCCACCACTCACCATGGTCATAACAAAGTCTTATATCCCCATATTAGCGTTTACTCAGGTGGCTTATGGAGCCGGTTTCCTAGCTTTCTTGGGAGGGGTTAGATGGGGCTTTGCCCTGCCAGAAAGCAGTCCAGCCAAACCAGACTACATTAACTTAGCTAGCAGTATGAGTCCTCTTCTGTTTTCATGGGTAGCTGTCCTCTTTTCTGAAAGACTCAGTGAAGCCACTGCCACAGTAATAATGGGTTTAGGTATAGCATTACACAATGAACTTTTCCTTTTGCCACATTATCCCAACTGGTTCAAAGCCTTGAGGATAGTAAGTACTTTAGTGGCTTTTTTCTCATTTGTAGTCACTTTAATACTTAAAAGTATTTATCCAGAAAAGGGGCCCAAAAGTTTTGGTGAAGTAGAAAAATAAAACCACTTTGCTGTGGAATAATCCTTCTGTTCTGTGCACTGTGAAGACATGTTGCTCTCCTTGTTAATAAAGAGCTGATTGGCTGATGGCTAGGCAGGATTTTTGGGACCGAGAATGCTGGGGAGAAGGGTGGAGTCAGAGGAAGCAGGATGGGAAGTAAGTACATGAGGTAAATGAGCCTGGAGCACATAGATTAATAGAAATGGCTATTTTATAAGAGCTAACTAAGAAACAGCTTAAGCTATCAGCTGAGCATTTATAATATTAACTCTCTGTGTGATTATTTGGGGAGTGGCTGGTGGGACTAAAAAGTCCACCTAAACTACATTATTGATATTATTTGCTACTTGGCTGTAAGTCTTGGAAACTTGCAGGTTTTTTTCAGTTATGTCATGGGACATATGTTCACAGAGTACACTGCCTATGGGACATGTGTTCACAGAGTACACTGCCTATGGGACATGTGTTCACAGAGTACACTGCCTATGGGACATATGTTCACAGAGTACACTGCCTATGGGACATATGTTCACAGAGTACACTGCCTATGGGACATGTGTTCACAGAGTACACTGCCTATGGGACATATGTTCACAGAGTACACTGCCTATGGGACATGTGTTCACAGAGTACACTGCCTATGGGACATGTGTTCACAGAGTACACTGCCTATGGGACATGTGTTCACAGAGTACACTGCCTATGGGACATGTGTTCACAGAGTACACTGCCTATGGGACATGTGTTCACAGAGTACACTGCCTATGGGACATGTGTTCACAGAGTACACTGCCTATGGGACATGTGTTCACAGAGTACACTGCCTATGGGACATGTGTTCACAGAGTACACTGCCTATGGGACATGTGTTCACAGAGTACACTGCCTATGGGACATGTGTTCACAGAGTACACTGCCTATGGGACATGTGTTCACAGGGAATACTGCCTTCAGAGACCAGAAGAGGGTATTGGAGTCCCTGGAGCTGGAGTTACAGACAGGCAGTTCTGAGCCTCTCAGCGTCTGCCTGGGAATTAAACTTGAGTCCATAACAATACATGTTATGTATTGTTATGACCACTGAGCCTGAGCCCTTTATCTCTCGCTTGTACAGTTGCATGTTAGCATCACACTTGGGTTCCTTGTTTGGCTCTTTTTTTCCTCCCACTGGTGGGAATTTATTCTTCATGGCCTTTTTTTTTTTTTTTCATTTCTAAAAATTACTTCTTTTAGTCAAGTGATGTTGGCCCATGTGTTTAATTACAGCACTCAGGAGGCAAGAGCAGGTGGGTCTCTGAATTCAAGGTCAGACTGGCCTACAGAGCAAGTGCCAGAACAGCCAGGGCCACACAGAGAAACCTGTCTGGAAAAAAAAAAAAATGTTTGTTTGTTCGTCTCACTAACAACTCTGGCTGTCCTGGAACTTGATATGTAGGCAAGGCTGGTCTAAAACTCGCAGAGATCTGCTTGCCTCTGCCTCCCAAGTGCTGGGATTTGAAATACTATTTTCTAAGTAATTCATCTTGAAAAACCTAATCTTTTATTGTGTCATGAGGTTAGTTTACATCATCTTTTTATGAATTGTATAGTCATCTACTTAAACATTTCAGTGTTTGAATTATATTGAGAACAACAAAAGACAAATTGAAAAATCTTCTATTATAGTCTTGGAAGTATGAAGTCACATTTCATGAAAAGAATACTCCTACTTCATTAGGAAGTCCATGACACCCTGAAAATAAAGGTATTTCTGTCAATTTGTATAGCACTTACCAATGGAAATTGCATGTGTAAGCCTTTTTTTTTTTTAAGAGTTCTAGAACAGTCAAGGTTACACATGGAGACCCTGTCTAAAAAACAACACAACAAAAAAAATTTAAAATACAACCAGGCATTTTGGACTACACCCTTAATCCAGAGGCAGGAGGATCTATTAACAAGGTATAGGACAGCCAATGCTACATAGAGAGACCCTGTCTCAAACATAAAATAATGACAAAAGTATTGCTTTGCTTTGTTTGTTTGATTTTCTTTTCCTCCTAGAAATTGAACCTGTGTTTCATGAATGCTATAAAAGCACTGCTACTGAGCAATACATCCCTAACCTAACACCCTGGATTTTAACTTAAAAACCTGGGCTGGGGGCTGGGAAATAATACACATTTAATTAACTGTTCAGGTAACTTCTGAGCTGATCATACATAAATACCAAATACTGAATGTCTTGATATTTCATTTCTGCTACAGGCATATGTGTGTTGTGTGTGTGATCATATCCCTTGCCATTTTTGTCTGGTACTGGGCAATAATGAGAATTGAACTAGCATTTTGTGAATCTGTTTTAGCACGTTCTCTAAAGAATAGGAGCATATGAGTTAGCTTAACTAGACTTGAATACTCTTGGTATTCATTCTCTGACATCTAGATCCTAACTTTAAACTTTCAGGCTATTTCACAGAAGGAGGCATTGCTTTCTGTCTGTGCTGTTAACAGGTTTAATGCTGATCAAAGGTTTTCTATCTAATAAGGTGTTGATGTGTCTAACAATATACTGAAAGACCTTAAATGAGAAATCATAACCTTGAGGCAGCCAGTTAAACTGAAAGCATGCAAACCCTTAATAATGTGGCTCTTAACTCGCTAGCAAAAATAAAAGCAGTGATCACAGCCTTCATAATTCAGTATAAAACATTCTTAAGAATGATATCAGGGGAAACAAGTTTCAGAAGCAGTTTTAGATCCAAGGTAGTTATAACTCACAATATTTGTCTATAAAAATTCCACATGTACAGGTTAAATCCCTGATAAAGATCTGAAATGATTGGGATTGGAAGTGTTTTGGACTTCAGAATACACCAGGTTTTAGACTATGTAGCATTTATCAGCTGAGCATCCCTATTCTGAAAATCAGAAATAAAAAATGAAACAAATTCAAAGTATTTTTTTGCATTGGGTGTCAGCATTCAAAAGTTCTCCGATTTCAGATTAAAGATGCTCAAAGGTGTGTACCTACTGAGCCAAGAATGATGGCTCATACCTGTTACCCAGCACTCACAAGGCTGAAGCAGGAAGACTGTTGAGAGTTCAAGGATAACTTGGGCTGCATAGTGAGACTATCCCCAAAACAAAAAACAGACAATCAAGACCAACAAAAAACAAAACATAAAGTTGTAACTACAATTCATCTTTCTCCAAGTCACCAGGCAGTAGCACTATACTAAGCTATTATATAGGCTTATCCAAGTACAAGTAAATTAAACAAAGTTTAATAATCTAACAAAAGCACCTCTTCCTAAAACTAAATAGATAATCTTGGTGACTAGAAAATAAAGAAGAAACTTCTAAGCACATAATAATGCCTGGGGAATTTTTATCCCCATTGCACACTATTTCAATCAAGAATTTACCAAAAAAAAAAAAAAAAGCCGGGTGGTAGTGGCGCATGCCTTTAATCCCAGCACTCAGGAGGCAGAGGCAGGCGGATCTCTGTGAGTTCGAGACCAGCCTGGTCTACAAGAGCTAGTTCCAGGACAGGCTCCAAAAACCACAGAGAAACCCTGTCTCGAAAAAAACCAAAAAAAAAAAAAAAAAAAAAAAAGAACTTATCTAAAGATTAGAGAGACAGCTCAGCAGTTAGGAACACTGGCTGCTCTTCCAGAAGACCCCAGCAACCACAACCACATGGCAGTTTAAAACCATCTATAATGCCAAATCCCAGACAAAACTTCAGGTAAAACACTCATATATATACTGTGTAAAATATTTTTATTTAACTTTATTTTATGTGCATTGGTGTGAAGGTGTCAGATCCCCTGCAACTGGATCTTCAGACAGTTGTGAGCTGCCATGTGGGTGCTGGGAATTGAACCCGGGTCCTCTGGAAGAACAGTCAGTGCTCTTAACCACAGAGCCATCTCTCCAGCCCCAACTCATACATATTTTTAAAAACTCAACTGTCATCATGGGGGACTAGAGAGATGGCTCAAAAGATAGAAGCACTTGCTGCTCTTTCAGAGGACCTAAGGTTCAGTACCCTGCACCCACATCAGGCAGCACCTTAACTCCAGTTCCAGGGGACACTACATCCTCTTCTGGCCTCAGCAGGCATCTATATACACATGGTGCACACAGACAAGTAGACACACACACACATACATAGAAATTTTAAAAAAATAAAACTTTATAATCAAAACAAAAAATAGGAGTTGGTAAAAATCTCTCAGACTATCAAAAGCAGAAGCTTACCTATCTAAATAGCTAGATATGCTGGGCGTAATGGCATAGACCTTTAATCCCAGCACTTGGGAGGCAGGGGCAAGCAAATCTCTGTGACTTTGAGGCAGGCTTGGTCTATGCAGAAAGTTTTGGGACAGCCAGAGCTATGTAGAGATACCCTGTCTCAAAAACAAACAAAATCCAAATGGATATTTACTACATGCCCTTCCTAATAGTCTAATGCTTTTATTTGGGGATGGTAAAAGTCCTGCCATTGAAGTACTGTTTCACTAGCTTTTCTCTATAGGTTTCATATCATGGAAACTATGTTCTGGACTAAATTGTGAATTAAAACAGAAATCTTTAAACTGTCTCAGAGATGATCATTTATTGTATACAGGCTATATTACAATTTGAACTGCACTAGAGAAGTAGCCAAAGGCACTATTTCCCAGAAGTTTCTAAACAAACAATTTTTACAATTAGGATTATATTGATAACTGAATAACTGTAAGGCATAAACACCATTTCTATTGTTGTTAAGCTTTGCAAAATTATGAGTTCTTTATTAAGATATATTCCATATCTATTCACATTTAAACTTTAGGAAAAAAATCACTCTTATCTATCTATCTATTCAATACATATCCTCAAAAGAATCAGAGGGCCATATCACAAATACAAGTTTGGTTTACAACAGATCAGAACCTACATTTCCAAATGCTACTTGTACTTTTATGCTTTCTGTGTCATAGTACAGCAACACCACCTTCACAGCGACTCGTGATCATGTTACCAATTTCTGT